TTTTTTTTAGATTATAAAAAATGTACATTTTAATCTTTTTATTAGTTAAATAGTTAAATCTATCCAAATATATATATTTTTAATCTCTCAGTATATATATATACACAATTGCAGTATTATTGTAATGATTTTTCAATCCACCCATTTTTCACTGTTAAAAAAAATACAAACAGATCACTAGAAACAATATATAAAAAGTTAAATGTCATCTTGAACTTTTAATTTTGAATATTTTTAGTTTTTTAATTATTTTTTATTTTTTTATTTTTTTTTAGATTATAAAAAATGTACATTTTAATCTTTTTATTAGTTAAATAGTTAAATCTATCCAAATATATATATTTTTAATCCCTCAATTTATATATATACATACATTTTTAGTCCTTCAATTTATATTTATATGCATTTTTAGTCCTTAATCTTATAATTTCAAAAACTAAAAATGTACATATATAAACAAACTTAACTAATTAACTGATGAATAACTAAAAATATACACTTTTCATAGTTAAGAACCAAAATGTATAAAAAAAAATTTAAAAACTAAGATATTCAAAAATAAAAAATTTAAGAACTAAAATTTGCATTTAACCAACTATAAACAACAAGACTTAAATTTAAGAACAAACAACTAGAAAGTTTGAAACTTGCCAACACAACGCTTGTGGACGGGTCCTAGAAAAGAGTTAAAGGTAGTATGATTTTTAATCAGTGACCATTTTAAATACAAAAAGATATTGTGCAGTTTAGATTATGCTTTATCTTTTGATATTGAACAAGGAAAATGATATATATACCTTACAAAATTACACACTTTGTTGCTTAATATGTTACATACTTCTTTTGTAACTCCCCAAATGCATCCAACCCTTTCTTTCTCTCTCTCCTTTCCTTTCTCCCTCTCACTATTTTGGCCTTAGAAACATAAAACAAGTCTATTTTGGGATAATATAGCAAAAAGTGGAGTGCATGTGAGTGGAGCCAACTAGTAGAAAAGGGAAAAGAAAACAAGAGAAATTTTTGCAGTTTTGATACTATGCACGGCTTTGCCATTTTGTCCGATCTGCAAAAGTTCACTATTAAAATAAGTTGAAATTTTGTTTGAGTGTTCAACAGATATTAATTTACATTATGAACTGTTAATTTTTTGTTTGGAACTTGTAGGTTCTAATTTTGTACCTAGAACAATAACTTGTTTTTGGTGATTTGTGGTACTATGTGCAACTTTGCCATTTTGTCCAATCTGCAAAGTTCACTGTTGGATTAATCTAAAATTTTATCTGGTTATTCAAGAAACATTGATCTACATTTTGAACAGTCAATTTTTTGTTTGGAGTTTTATAGGTTCTGATTTTATTCACAAATCAGTAACTCATTTTTTATGATATATTTTTGTGTAATTTTGGTACTGTGTACAATTTTGCCATTTTATCCGATCTATAAAAGTTCACCATTAATTGAGTTGAAATTTTTTTTAGGTGTTTAAGAGACATTGATTTATATTTTGGAAAACTAGGTTTTCGTTTGGAGTTTTGTAGGTTCTGATTTTGTGTCCAAAATAGTAGCTCATTTCTTTCTAAACTGTCAGTGTATAACGAATTATGTAACAGAGACTGTCAGTATATAACAACGTGTTTGACAGAGCAAGATGTATGTACCAATGTCCATTAGACAATACTCTTCTATCCAATAATTTTTATTTTATAACTTGATACAATTTGATTGACATAACAATATACTCTTTCAGAAAAACCATAAGATGAAGAAAACTTAATTAGTTTATCAAATTTAACGAGAAAAAATTTTCTTGATTTCATGAGCACCAAAAGAGAACTAGGTTTATTGACGAGTTTGCTTTGCAACTTAAATTATCGTGAATAGTGCAATCAGCAATGACAAAGACTTGGCAAACCCCACCATAATTTAAAAACATCATGCCTTTGATTTACAGATCAACCATAGGTCATGTTTAATGGGAGAGATAATTATATTTAAATCAAATGATAAAAATAAGAATTAAAAAAAAACTTATTTTTATGGCATGCCATGCCAAATAAAAGGCATTAATGATATATTATTAGATAAATGTGATATTATTAAATAAATATATATAATATTAAAAATAAAATTTTAAATAAAAAATTATTTACATAATAATATAACATATTATAAATTTATAATATTAAATAATATTATTCCTCCATCATCTTTATTCTTTTATATGTTATAGGGACGCTATTCACGGCATTATTCCCATGGGCCGGTTGTCCATAACATTCTCAAATTAGGCTGGCCTTATCAGCTTATTGGACTAATGCTAGTTTGTGTTGGGCCTACATGGGAATTTTGAGATCGATGGATGCAGCTTGCATGGTTCTTGTTTGGTTTTATTTCCTGTTGGCCTGTTTGTGTAGGATGTGCATGTTTGGGGTAAGCTCCAAACTACTTTTTTTTAACATATACCTTTTCAGAATGCATCTAAATCTGAATAAAAATTTGGGACTATGTATCCCAAACAAGAAATACAAAACATGGATTTTTGTTTGGTTCATATATAAGGGTTTTACACAACTAAAGAAAAACGCAAGAATTAACTAGACCAAAGAGGTAGACATAGCTATTGCAGGCCGAAACTGACCTATGAGATGACCTTAACTGTTTTTTGTTGTATCTATGATTTTGATGATTACAAAACATATTTAAGTGACTAATTGGTTTATTTAAGTGTATAGTTAAGTTGCTAAAAGATTGCAAGTAGACTTGAATTGCACTAAAAATAAACCAAAAGGATTCAAAATGTTCAGAGAACCGGCTCTTGGAAGCTGCAGCCGGCTCTGGATTTGTAGCCAGCTGTGAGGGTGCATTTAATGCACAACGGTCGAGTCATTTGAAGATTATTTAATGTATTTAGGTGCATTTAATGCACAACGGTCGAGTCATTTGAAGATTATTTAATGTATTTAAAGTCGGAGTTGCAAAGCCGGCTCAAAGTTTTGCAGCCGGCTCTCGAGAAAAACAGAATGTGCTGCAAACCCAGATAGCCGGCTCTGAAAGTGTAAGCCGACTCTACAGAGCTGGCTCTCCTGACAATCCTGCAACTCGAGCTTCGCGTCTTGCAGGACATTTAATGACCCCCAATGGCTAGAAACGGCTATTTTCGAGTAAGGGGCTATAAATATGGTTGGTAACAGATCTGAAAAAGTTTAAAGAGTATTGTATTAAATATCTTTACCTACCTACATGAGCTTTAACTTGAGATTTTGATCTTTGAGAGATCTTTCTTTGTAATCCTCTTCTTGTGCTATTAGTGAGTGATCTTGGAGGTGTGTTAATTCCTTTAAGAGTGATCTGTAGAAAGGATTTTTGGGATTTACATTATAAAGGGGTGAGATTTGAGAGAAACACCCTTATTCTTGTAAAAGGATTGAGTGGCTCCTTTAAGCCACCCTTGTTGTTGTTAGTGGAAAGTGTGGAGGAAATTCTTGATGAGTAAAGCCAAGGTAGAGGACTAAGCTCCAAGTGGTTGGACCCAACCTCTATAAATCATTGAGCAAGCTCTTCTTATCTACTCTCTTTAATTTGGGTGTTGTGGTTGCAAAAATGGGAGAATTTTTGGAACTCCAATTCACCCCCCTCTTGGAGTACATTGAGTCAACATTTTTTTATTTAAAAAAAAAAAACTCTATTTTCCTTGGAACAAAATTAACATTATTTTGACATTGATGAGGTACAGGTGTGCACACAAGTAGAGACTGACCTTGACTACATCTCACAGCTTGCTAGATCCTTCAATAGCTTTCTGGGCAGGATTTTTGTCACGCCCCAAAACCCAAATCCAGGGACACGACAGACACCGTGCACTCGTGAGACGGGTCCCACGATTGCACAAGGCTCGGAACTTATTCAAATCACAATCTACATCTCAAATCTATATTCACTTTACAAGATGGCTAGCCTTCTAACTCGTCACTCCCCTCGGTTTCCCCGTCCTTAGTATCATTTCCTGAAATGATGGACAAGGAAAAACTATGAGATAACTCAGTAAGTAAATATGGATAGCCCTTGGGTAAAACTTTTAAGCATGCCAGATAAACAGTTTAATATAACCAAAACGCTCAGTGACAAAATCAGATTCAGTTTAATTGCAAAGCATTCATGACAAACCGTTAATGCAGAAGAAAACTCAGTTCAGTAGTCTCATCTATAAGTCATGGCCAGCGTTTATAAACCTCCCACTGGCGGGCACAATAGTTGCCAATGTTTAACCCCATAGGCAAGGTTACAGAAGTGCCAGTATTTAACAACTCCCACTGGCAGGCATCAGTAATGGTGCCAGTGTTTACAACTCCCACTGGCAGGCAACACTAATTACCAATGTTTAACCCCATTGGTAGGGTGAACCGGTTCTATCAGTAAACATGTCGACATGTACTAGCGTTTATAAACCTCCCACTAGCGGGCACAGTAATCAGTAATCATGACTATATCCGAGACAAAACCATGCAGAGTTTACAGAAAACCCGAATTTCACAATCAATCCCAATTTCAGAAATAACCAGAAAGATTCCATGTGGGCATGGATTTATCAGAAAACTCAAAATTTGCAAACTCTCAGTTCATCAAAACAGTTCAGTCAATTCCAAATAGGCATGCTCTACTCAATACCAATGAAGACAGTTTCATTTCAAACCAATCATGCTCGGTGCAATAGCTCCAGAAAAACAATGAAATTCTCACTTTTCATTTCAATCATGCTCAATTCCAGAAAACAATAATTTTCATAAAAATCATCACAATTTCCATTTCAGTTTAATCACATTCAGATGCTGATAAAATTAATTTAAAATCACTTTAAACCTTGCCACCATCTCAAAAACAGTTTAAAACATGCTTTAAAATCGAAGGGCTTTACCATGATTTACTTACCTCACTCATATAAAACCGAGCACTCAATCTCAGTGCTAACTGACAGAATGATCGGGAACCTAATCAAAACACCTCAGAATTAATACCGGACTATCACAAATTCACAATGAAATCATCATTAGCACTACCCCTAATCACGGTACTATTTCTATCGATCTCCACATGATCAAATATCTCCAAATTCATTCAAATATCTCCAAATTCATTCTTATATCACAAATTAAACCTTTAAATCTCCGTTAATCATTAACCCTCGGTGTGTGAACAGTACCCGTGAACAGTGCGTGAACAGTGACTGCACTTCCAAAATTGGCTAAACACTAGCTAATTCACGGGATTTTCTCCCTAGTCACAGCAACTAAATCAAGAAATTTCTACCTCAACCAAGCTTAAAACGTGTTTTATGCTACCCAAAATCATCCCATAATTCTAGCACAATCTCGGACAACACAAGCAACTAAATGGACAATACTTAATTGATAATTAGACATAAAAAAGGCTGTCCATCATACCAGGAAACTCCGGCGAGCAGCACCGGGTCCGGCTGGGAAGGAAGCCGACGGGGAGAGGAATGGAGGAACTCACGGCAAACCTCAAAATTCAAGAACCCACAACACAATTAGAGTAACCCAACTTGAATTAAGGCTAAAGGGATGATTCTTAGTCATTCCCTTACCAGAAAACCGGGAAGCACTCCACCGGCAAAAGCTGCTCGCAGAAGGACAGAGCAGAGCAGAGCAGATCCGAAAATCTGCAGAAGGGAGGGGGATATTTCTAGGTTCAAGAACAAGAAAAGAAGGAGAAAACCCCCAAGCTTTGCCGGATTTCCGGCCGGAAATGGGTGACGGTAGTTGGGGGGCTTCTCGGGTGCAGAGGGTCGGGGGGCAGAGCATCGGGGAGAAGAAGAAGATGAGGATGAGCAAAACACATGGCTGAGGAGAGAAATATCAGCCTTGATCCTTATCCTAATTTTCTATCTTTTAAGTCCCTCAACTTTTAAAAATTTAACTATTAAGCCTCTCAATAATATTTTCCCTCAAATAAGTTCCTTATTTAATGCTAAAATATCCCCAAAATTTTGGGATATTACAATTTTTCTGCCCTTTCGTCTGAGCAGCAGCCTGAAATTAATATATTACCTGAACACTTCTCTCAAACCCTTAACAAGAACGAATACTTAATCCGATTGGTATGTTCTTTCTTTCCAATTGTCAAAGGAAAATATTAATACTAAGCTCTTGTAGAGATTTAAACCTTAAGCCTAACTCTACTTCAATGACGGAGCCAGAGAAATATTTTTGAGAGGCCAAATGAAACATTGATTAAAAAAAAATGGCTAGAATTGTATAAAAATATAAAAAATTTAAAAATAAAAATTAGTGGATCATATTAAATATTGTTTAAAAGTTTAGGGGTTGAAACAACTCAACAGAAACCCATCACTGGGCTAAAAGGTTCAGTGCCCTAAAAAACTTAAGCTTAATTAAGGTTCCTAACTCTTGAAAACATACGTTTAAATCATTAATAATGGTTAGTTTCTATATTTATATAATAAGCACACTCATACTTCCATTATGATGTGGGATTTGGGTGTTATAGGAGCCCTAAGACCTTAAGACCCCATTAGCTCCACCGATACTCAAGAATATATCAAAATTTCAAACCTGATTACTGATTAGTAATAAAGTGCTAGTACTTTCAAACACCCTCCCCAGATTGTAAACATGTGGGAGAAAAAACTTACAGGATATGTCTGTTGGTAGGCATAAATCAAAGATGCAGCCTGCAAAGTTGAATAAATTAGCTGTTAGCCTACCACCAATCGATACACGTGACAATATGAATATAAACGGAATTAATACTACATATATACCATCAATGTGGATTGAAGTTGCTTCTTTGTTAGAGTAAGAGGCTCCTCTCCATCCAAGAATGAATATTGCCCCGCCAGCTTATTCACAGACGGCGGCTGCTTTTCCATCTCTCTCAACCGAAAAAAAAAAAACCTTGAAGCTTCTGTGTCTAATGGAGAAAATGTATAGATGGTGATGGACATGGGGCATAAGGTGATATGTAACGTTGGCTAAGGAAATTAGCTGAGCCAAATTAGGTGCCATGCATGCAATAGAGAACGTGGCAGCCATGGGCAATATTATCACATGGGACCTTCGTCGTTTTACATTTAATTTGGCAACCCTCTGTCGGCAGTGCACTACATAAAGCGTGACTACTTGGTAGCAAGAAGAACCATCACAACTACCGCAGCTGTTACTTTATGAGAATTATGTTTTTTTGTACAAAGAACAATTTAAATATCAAGTTAAAGATATTATATATCTATATATGTATATGTGTGCGTGTGTAGGAATTTATTTATATACAAATTTTACACACTACATTTATATAAAATTTTAATAATTTATCCTTTTACTTTTGATAGTTGAAATTTATTTATATTTATTAAGAATAATTATTTTTTTTATTTAAAAAGTCGTTATAAATTTTAATAATTAAAAATAAAAAAATGAATAATTAAGATTTTATATAAGTATGATTTGTAAAATTTGTATGTAACTAAATATTTCCTATATATATTATATTTTTATCTAGCAAAAACTTTATTACTAAAAATACAAGAGGTATTCGAACTCATATGCTCACTTACTCAAAATATCCAACATGATATATATATGTGTGTGTGTGTGTATAAAGAATACTATCAACCCTTAGTGTTAGGATCTATTGATAAACAAGTGTCGTCTTATAAGTAAGGTTTAAGGTTTAAATTTTAAGACCATCATCCAAGAAAATTAATTTCATTGAATGCATCTAGCCGATGGAGGTATGTTTTAAACTAGCATAAGAAGAAATTAATTTCAAAATACATAAAAATTAGCATAGAGACACTATGACAATAAATAAATAAATAAATAAAACTACTATATGCCACCAAATTAACAAAGAGCTTCAGATACGACTTAGAGTTTTAGTTTATGTTCCCTACTAAGATTTAAGGTGCTAACACAAGCAATTGGCTTCCTGCACCAATCCACAAAAGAAAAGGAAAAATCCTTATCCCCAGCCAACAATCAAAGAAAAGACCTAGTCTGAAATCATTCAATATTCACAACAGCATTTCTAAACAAGTATGGATTACAGGCCAACTAAATAGATCCAAACAACTGCATGCAAGCCAGATCGCATCCCACCCAATCATGCCGCACAAAAGCTTCTCTACGATTAGAAGCTAAAACATAGTTCAGTCCACACCACTTTAAACTTTTCATCCTTATTTTATATGATATACCAAACAATATAACAGGAGATGGTTAGCATCCTCATTATCATCAAGCCATATACGGTATATACCTCTTTTCAATAATTGATATACTTGATAGATGCTTAGTCACTAGTCCAGTTAGTACTGATTAATTTTAAAACATTAATTATGGAGTTAAAGGTTGATGCCTTAATGGTTTAAACATTTGTAATAGTTAGTAATTAATTAAGAACAATACTAACTTCTTAGCCTGTGAAAGGAATAAATGACCATATAGAAGTTTTTTTGTTTAGGATTTTCAAAAGATAAACTAGAAAACTTCTAAAAAATACAACAAATTAATTTTAATTTTTGATCTGATCAAGTGTGATAAATTTCCCTTTCTATATACATACAATAGATTTGATCCTTAACAAACTTGACAAAATTTTTGTTATTAGGTAATGTCAACTATAATCAATAATAACTTAACCGAGTTGATATTCATTAATTTAAAAACTTTAATTTAAATAAAAATTAAATATTTAAATTTTTGTAATGTTAACAAATTTTTGCAAATGGCAGCACATCTCCATTCTTTGTTGCTTCTACATCCATCGCTGATAAACAAAAGAGAAAAAAAAACACCACTTTCAATCATCTGGCTCCATTATTACTTCCGTTACATAATTCACCGGAGCAAAAAAATGTCAGATCTCTAACTTCCCTCATCTTGTAGTCTTCTTGTGTGACCAACAGTGGATTTGAAGTGCTTCCTTTAGCTTGTTCTGGCATGGCCTAAAAACATCACAACGCACCAAAGGAAAATGTTCATAAAATGTTTAAATATATAGTATAGCATAATTTGTTTGTTCTCAAAAAAAAAAAATAATAATAATAATAATAATAATAATAATATCAAAAGGAAGCGTTGGTCTAAAACGTACAGCTTTCCTCTGCTTCTCAATGAACTTCACTTTCTCACTGCTCAGCATGAATCCTACCATATCTACTATTGCCCTTCGCTGCAAAACAAACAAGCCAAAAAAATTAATTGAGATATGACTTACCATTCGAACTAAAAAAAATTGTTCACAATTTGGTTCCTTCGTCTCAGATTTGCCCCTTAAAATAATTTTTTTTATTGTCCAAATAAAATTTTATTAATTCGAAATATAAGGGTTATACTCTGGTTCTTACGTCTAGATCTCACATAACCAGCACCTTATAATAAACTGGTATAAATAAATAACGATTTGAGAAATTATAGAAGATTTTCCCTTGATATATATAAGTCACATTCATGTCCATCAAAAAATTATTGGTAAATGCATGATATATAAAAGAAATAAACAACAACGTAAATATATAGCATATACCCTAGCATCTTCAAACTGCGCCTCTGTTAGGAATCTGTTCTTGTGCACTCTGCTTGAGGGTCTCCACTTCTCTAGCTGCTGTGGGCGTCGTTTTGCCATGGAAGGAGGTTGAAGTTGAAGGGCGACCCTTCAGAGATCTAGAAAATTTTCTGAATGTACATGTTTTTGACCTTGCAGCTGGCCTTGTTATATAGTGGGGTGAGGGAGGAGGGGAGAGGTGGTTCCCAAGAGTGGATACCATAAACGTGGCATGGAAATGATGTCAGATAAAAATCAAAAGGTGGGGTGCAATGAAACCGTCGTGGACCCAAGCTTTGTCTTTTAAGAACTGAGCTGTAATTAAACCTTTGTTTTTTGGATTTTTTTTTTTTTCATTACTTTTGGGAAAATTCCTAATAAGGCTAGTTTCCAAAAAGTTAAATATCCATTTAGTCCTTCAACTTTAAGATTTTACATAGTTTTCATCCTTCAACTTTTTTATGTATTTTTTTTATCTCTCAACTATGAAAAATGTATTTTTTTAATCCTTCCATTAATTAGTCCATCAAATCTATTCAAACATGCATATTTTTAGTTTTTCAACTGATAATTTATGCACATTTTAGTCTTTTAATGTATAATATATGCATATTTTTTTGTCTCTTAACTTAAAAGTTCCGGAACTAAAAATGTGCATAAATGAATAAATGTAATAGACTAACTAACGAAATAATTAAAAAGTACATTTTTAATAATTGAGGGACAAAAAAAGTACATAAAAAGTAAGAGATGAAAATTGTGCAAAACTCTAAAATTGAGAAATTAAAATTAGCATATAATCTTTCTAAAAAATAGTTACCATTTAGGGAGGTTCCAAAATTATTTTCAAAAAAATCTTAAAATACTAAGGGTATGTTTGGATTGAGGAAGTGGTTCCTCTCCTTTCCCTCATTTGGAAAACTTAAAAAACTTGAAAAGATTAAAAGAATTAAAAGTAAAAAATAAAGTAAATGACTTTCCTCCCCTCTAATTTTTTGGTAACCAAATAAAGAAATTATTATCCATCTCCTCAAACCAAACGTACCTTAAGGCTTCTTTTGGTATGATTGTGGTTTTTTGTTTTCAATTTTTTTAAAATTTTGCAACTCAAAACAAAAAACTCATTTAAATTTCATTTGTATTTTCAACATATTATTGTGATTATCAATTGCAAAATTTATAAAAGTTAAAAGCTTCAACTATATTGAGAGCTAAATAATCTCATAGTAGTTACTTTATTTGTCTTAAAATAACTATCATTTTTTAAATTTTCATTCAAGTTAAAATTTTGAGACAATTTATATATGTGTTTAGTGATATTATGTAGAAAAAAGTTAAAAGATAAACATACTTTTTTGTAATAGAATAATTAATTAAAGTATATGGATAATGATATTATTTAAAAATAACTATCAGTTTTTAAATTCTCATTTAAATTGAAAATTTTGAGATAATTTATATATGAGTTCGTGATATTATGTAGAAAAAAGTTAAAATATAAACATAGATTTTTTGTAATAAAATAATTAATTAAAGTAAATAGATATTGATATGGTTAAAATAGGATAAAATTTTATTTGACTACCTATAAAAATTAAAAAAATAATTAATTTAAAATAAATTTAAAATTAAAAACCATAATTATTTTGAAATAGAGGGAGTAATATTTTGTAATTCCAATTTTCCTCTCTTTAAAATTAATTTCCCCATAATTGCTTATTGGGTTACTCCTCTCAAACCTGCACTTCTATCCCAATGCAAACCTCTATTTTAAGAAAAGAGGCAATCCACATCTCAAAGTCTATCCTTAATTTGTTTTATTGTTTATTGGTTATTCATCTTTTAGTCCTTTTTTGGATTTCTTCCCTTAATTGCTTCCATTTTCCATCCTTTTTTGCCCTTTGATTTTTTTTTTTTTTGGCCAAACCCTCAAATTTGCCCTCTAAATAAGGAATAAGGACAAATCCACCCAAAAAAGAGAGAGAAAAAAAAAAAAAAGGGGGGGCAAATTGCCCCTCTCAACAAATGAGCCATTATTTAACGGCTAACATCATTACATATCAGTTTTTAGTTACAAACAAAGTTAGGTGGCAAACAAATCCTTGACATATGATGATGTTAGCCGTTAAATTAGGGTCATTTGTCTCTATCAATGATTTGAAAAGGCAATTGTTGTACCTATGATTTTGATGATTACAAAACACATTTGAGTGACTAATTGGTTTATTTAAGTATGTAGTTAAGTTGCTAAAAGATTGCAAGTAAACTTGGATTGCACTAAAAATAGACCAAAATGATTCAAAATGTGCAAAGAGCCAGCTCTGGTAAAGTGCAGTCGGCTCTGGTGAAATGAAGTGCAGAGAGCCGGCTCTCGAAGCTACAACCGGCTCTACAGGCAAAAATTTGAAGACTGTTGTTTGGCGCGCGCAAAGAAAAGATGCAAAGCCGGCTTTGGCTTTGTAGCCGGCTGTGAGGGTGCATTTAATGCACAACGGTCGAGTCATTTGAAGATTATTTAATGTATTTAAAGTCGGAGTTGCAAAGCCGACTCAAAGTTTTGTAGCCGGCTCTCAAAAAAAACAGAATGTGCTGCAAACCCGGATAGCCGGCTTTGAAAGTGTAAGCCGGCCTACAGAGCCGGCTCTAAAAAGTTAAGCTAGCTCTCCTGACAATTCTGCAGCTCAAGGTTTGCATTCTGCAGAGCATTTAATGACCCCCAACGGCTAGAAACGGCTATTTTCGAGTAAGGGCCTATAAATATGGTTGGTAACAGATGTGAAGAAGTTTAGAGAACATTGCATTGAATATCTTTACCTACCTACTTGAGCTTTAACTTGAGTTTTAACTTGAGTTTTTGATCTTTGAGTGATCATTGCTTGTAATCCTCTTCTTGTGCTTTTAGTGAGTGATCTATTGAGAGGATTTGTGGGGTTTACATTGTAAAGGGGTGAGGTTTGAGAGAAATACTCATCTTCTTGTAAAAGGATTGAGTGGTTCCTTTAAGCCACCCTTGTCTTTCTTAGTGAAGAGTGTGGAGGAAATCCTTGGTGAGTGAAGCCAAGGTAGAGGATTAGGCTCCAAGTGGTTGGACCGAACCTCTATAAATTCATTGTGCAAGCTCTTCTTCTCTACTCTCTTTAATTTTGTTTTTGTGGTTGAAAAATGGGAGAATTTTTGGAACTCCAATTCACCCCCTCTTGGAGTACATTGAGTCAACAGCAATTTATTTTTACCTTATTTTAAGGGCAAATCTATGCCTACTCAGGCTGCTTCCTATTTGGAAAGCAAATTTGAGGGTTTGGCTTTTTTTCTTTTTCTTTTTCTCTGTTTCCCACATGTTGTGAATTAATTAAATAAATAAAAATATAAGCATTCATTTTACGAAGGTTTTTTGGTATTTTTCTTCTTGGTTTTTTCGTCGTTTTCTTCTTTTTAGTATTTATAATTAGAGTGTCCCTTGATAAATTTTCATACACCTCGAGTCTAATTCCTTCCTAGGTAATTAAGGGCACACCCCCATGTTAATCTGATTTATTTAAAAAAATTAATTTTCTTAAATGCTAATTCCAAAACTTAAACGTTAATCTCAAAACTTAAACGTTGAATTGAACCTACGAGATAGAACTTGTTTACCAATAGGTTCAATTTTTGAAGTTTTTTTTCATAAATACTAAATATATTCTATATAATTTTAAGATATTACAAAGCAAAAAAAAAAAAAAAAA